TCATGTGACTTTCTCATCACCACCAGTTTTTGGTGGTTATCAGTGCATTACAATGGTTCAAAACAGATTGTAGTACTTAAATATGTTGGTTTATTAACATTACATCAGTTAATGAAATACATTATTTTATTGTGAATTTAGATTAAGTCTGTAAAGCCTAAAATGTTGCTGCCATATTTTTTACGGTGAAGTTCTGGCAACCACAGCTGCCGGTATTTTACTGTAAATGTCAGATTTTTTTTTTTTACAGTGTAGTAACCATGGGTTTTTGGTTTTATTTGTAGGAAAACCATGGTTCATTTTTGTAAGGGACATTACAGTTCAGAAATGTGGGGGTTGGTCTTTGAACAAGTCTCTTATGCTTACCAAATCTACATTTATTTGATCAAAATATAGTAAAAACCTGTGAAATATTTTACTTAATAAACTAATATTATTACAATTTAAAATAAGTGATTTCTAAGTTATTGCTGTGATAGCAAAGCTGAATTTTCAGTAGCCATTAGCTACTCCAGTCTTCAGTGTCACATGATCCTTCAGACGTCGTTCTAATATGCTGATTTGCTGCTCAAAAAAATAATTATTATTATCATTATGTTGATAACAGTTGTCTATATAAAAAAAAAGAAGTCTATTTCACCCAATATTTGGTTACATGTAGGTTATTGTTTTTCTTATAGTGTTAGCTTAGCCACATGCTAACATCAAACTCTATTAGAATCGACTGTTTTGATTGCTGGTTTCTAGCATAAGATAACCAACAAAACTCCCTTGTTCAACTAACTTCACTGTGGGAAAAAATTAGATTAGCTTTAATAACTACATTCAATTCACCTGTGCGACCAGCCCCAACTCACCAGGCTAGACTAGAATTAAAATTCATGCTGGTGTAAAATAGTCTATTAGCAGAGCAACTATAAGACAGAATTGATAAGAAAACAAGACGATAATCAGATTTGGCTGAGTAATTGAATGCTGGTTTGATATCACTGGCTTGATCTGGACAGAACAGCCTGTACACAGCATCTTTTCTTTCTCACAGTCCTCTTCCTTCCTATATCTCTCTCTCCGTCCCTCTTTCCTTTTATACTGACTAGTCCTGTATCTCTTTCTCTCGTTCTCTCCTCCTGAGCAGACGGGATCAATAGGTCTCGTAAGAGCTGCTGGCTTATCACGGCTGCAGTCATGGGTGTCAGGGAGGAAAGCCATAGCCTTGAACACAGAGCATGGACAACCTCTCATCTCACTGAGATACAGAGGTGTGAAGAAGTGCAGTTCCAAGAATCGTGCGTCTAGAGTAGCTTTATCTGTCTCGAGCCCTTTGTGTCATTTCTGGTCTTCTGCTCGTAAATGAATAGACAAAACTAAACAGGCCAAGCTGTGTAGTCGGTTCCTTTCAGCCTCTTACAAAGAAATACAGTTTGAATAGAAATGAAAATGTTTTAGGAGGCGTTATTATAAAAATGTTCTCAAGATTTTAAATGTTATTGAAGATGCTGTACTGCAGTGCATATTTGTTATACAGGTATGCACATACACAAATGGTATTCTTTGAAGGTTCTTTTGGACCACCATGTAAATACCATAGAATATTAAAATGGTATTTGTTCAGCATCATAGTATATATCAAACAAGGTCAAGTCATGGAAATGAATTAAGTCGGCATTTACTTAAAATGTATAACGTATACCAGATTAATCCAATAATTTAGTCCGCTTAAACTTCATCTCTCCAAAATCAACTGCATACTTGTATTCATTTTGCATTCATCAAAATCCAGTCAACAACCAATGGATAGAACCAAGTCCCTGCTCTACAATTTTTTTTTTAAATAATCCATTACACTCAAATGTACGTTACAATATGGAAGATCTCTTCATGAACTGGAATTTTTTTTATTTTTTTATTTTTTTATTCATGTGTTCAACTATCAAATATTTAATTGATGCTTTAATATCAATATTTAAGAGATAAGTAAAGAATAGAAGTTGTTTACAAACATTTGTGAGTGAATCATTCTTTGATTCAAATGAACCAATTCGAAAATAATCATTAGTGAATCATTCTGCATTTACCAAATTCTCATTTAGTTACTCACAAATGACTAGAAACATCATTGAAAAGTCATAAAAATCATGAATAAAAAAAAAGTAAGGTATATTAGGTAATCCTAATATGAATACCACGGTACTTTCCACAAAAGATCACTGTACTGTCAGTTTTTTGTAAGGTTACACTTGCGGTATTTACTCTATGGAAACCAAATAGTTCATGCTGTTTTAAACTGTTTTGTGGTTTGTTCTTAATAAATATATCTATTAATTAATCAGGCATTTCTTGAGATCATAAAATTGATCCTTTTTCCCCATTGGTCATGCTCTCTGGGAACAGAAGCCATTAATGGACTCGCCTCATGTGCTTTTCAGAATGGATGTGGGGAAAAGGAATTATACCATCAACAGAGCCTACATCTTTATATCCGACCAAACCTGTCCGCACAAGCCATTTTCATTATTTGTTTTGGGCTTTTTAGAAGAACGCATTAGACTGCATTTATTCCATTGTTATCGGCTCGGCAGCAATTTGTTGTAATCTAACTCCTTTGCATTGGTTTGTGGGGTTCACTCATTCTGATATCTGTGTGGGCACAATACTCGCTTTGCAGATGGTTCCCCTCATCAACACGGCCACAGAGACGTTACTGAGAAACCTGAAGAGCCACGCTGAGTCCGGTAACAGCTTCAACATCCACAAGTACGAGTTTCTTTGAGCATATGTGTGCACATCTGTTTCTCTGATTATTTCAGAGCTCTTAATAATGTAAAACATGTTTGCTTTGCAGGTGTTTCGGCTGCTTCACAATGGACGTAATTGCCAGTGTGGCGTTTGGTACGCAGGTGGACTCTCAAAACAATCCCGATGACCCTTTTGTGCACCACGCCTCCAAGTTCTTCGCTTTCACTTTCTTCAAACCCCTCATGATTTTCTTCAGTAGGTTCAACCAACACCACATCCAGAACTCAATGCAGACAGCGTTCATTTCGCTCTCATTATTGTACAAAGGATATCACAGCTTGGAAAGGGCTTCCGACGGATGATATTGCGAAACTCATTTTCATTATGCCGATATTGCGATTAGCATATTTATTATACGAGTAAGAGGAAAAAGTGCAATTTTCTGACTGTGTCGTTTTCCTGGTTTTGCTGTAGTGGCGTTTCCATTTCTGCTTCAGCCTCTTGCTGGTCTGCTTCCTAATAAATCAAGAGATGAGATGAACAGCTTCTTTATCCAATGTATTCAGAAGATGATTAAACAGAGAGATGACCTTCCCCCAGAACAGGTATGGCCATGAACGAACAAATTAATTAATCATTCCTCAGTATCGACCACCCATGTTCATGATCTGCTTTTCTACAGCGGAGGCGAGACTTCCTGCAGCTGATGCTGGATGTCAGGGCCAGCAGCAAGTATTTGTCTTTGGAGCACTTTGATGTGGTCAATGACGCCGATGAACAGGCTTGCACCGAACAGGGGATGGACAACGGACAGGAAAACGGACCAGGAAACGAGTCCACCAAGCGCGCCCAGCAGAAGAGAATGATGACGGAGGATGAGATTGTCGGTCAGTCCTTCATCTTCCTGTTGGCCGGCTACGAGACAAGCAGCAACACGCTAGCATTCGCATGCTACCTGTTAGCGCTCCATCCAGAGTTCCAGAAAAAACTCCAAGAGGAAGTGGATGAATTCTTCAGCAGACATGTGAGTCAGGATTTAAATATTTGGAAAACAACATTTATTTCATTAAAGCAATAAGCCCCAAGAAGCCGTGGTTTACAGTGAATTTATAAAAGCTAAGGGGCGTTGTTAGGCACAACGCGATGCGGAGTGCCTAAAACCCCCTTAGCTGTTATAAATTCACTGTTAACCACGGCTTCACGGGGCTTATTGCTTTTATAAAATGGTTATTCCATATACGTAGTAAGGTTTCACAAAATAAAACCGAGCAAATAAAGTGTAATTATATTTATAAAAACATTATTCTTCCACCAAACAATGTAGTTCCTCAGAATCAGTTGTGGTTGCAACAAAGTGGTTGCCGAGCAACAGACAAACGTAAACAAAGGTGTATGTTTGTAGAGTAATTTACAACAGCTTCGAACATGGCTCAGACAATCAGAATCAAAGACCGGAACTATCCGTTTTATAATCTTATTTTGAGAATGCTTCTTTATTTCATGCTGTGGAATAACTAATTTGTGGAACAACTGACATTCTCTTCAATTTTTTCTCAAAAGTCCTTTGTCATATGAGTTTTGCTGTGGGTGCCCATAAATGTCGTTATGATTCAGAAAATGCTTTTTTGAAATCTTTTGTCTTTGTTCTCCATCTCTGTCTGATGCTCGTTAGTGGGTTGGATTGTTGTTTCTCATTAGTTTTGAAGGTCTGCATGTACCAGCGCATTTCTCAGAAACCATTTACTGTCAGGACCGTTGATTAAATTTACAGGGCCAGAAACAAGTGTTTTATGGGTGGGCTTCATCTAAGCGGCATAATGGGTAGGTTATATCATAAAGCTGTGGTTTTCAAACTGGGGTCCACAAGAAGGTGCTGGGGGTCCGTGAAAAAGTTAAGAGAAAACTGGTGTAAAACTGTACAAAAAATTAAATAAGTTAAAACTGATCAAATTTGACAGTTAATTCATTGTATTGATTTTCATAGTGGTAATGTTGTTGTTTTCAGGTTTATGCATCTAACAAAACTTTTAATGATAGCTGGAAAAAGATAATATTGTGAAACTTGCCTATTTTTGGTCACACTTCGTTTTAAGGTCCAGTTCTCACTATTAACTTATCTATTAACTGCGACTTTTCCCTCAATCTCCCAATTACTGCTTATTAATGGATAGGAAGGTACTTATTACGTTTAGGTATTAGGCAGGATTAAGGATATAGATTATGGTCATGCAGAATACGTGCTTTATAAGTACTATTAAACAGCCAATATGCTATTAATATGCATGCTAATTAGGGTTAGGGGTTTGTTGAAATCCTTAGCACGAAGTATAGTGTTACTTGGTTTAGAAAAGCCCACTAAATAAATAGAAAGACATCCAGATGGGTTACATTGAAACAATTCAGAAAAGCTGCAGCACTGTGCTGGTTATAGAAGGCTTGTATAAGTGCTCAGTTTGCAGTATATCTGCTTAGATGATTTACTCTCCTCTATAAATATAGCGGCGGTTTGCAGTGATGATGGTGGTTCTGCTGATTTGATGTCTTATGTTTGTGCATAATGTGCATACTCATGAAAGAGACAGAGAGGAATTCTTGAGTGATTCTCTGAAACCTCGTAATCTGTGCCACAAAGCGCTGGAGAGGCTGGATGGTGATGAGGAGGAGGGTCAGATGTGGCAAGAAGAGCCTCTAAATCAGCGTATGATATTGGGGGGATGATTCTGGCTCTCTCACGTTGCTTTTTCATGTTTGTTCCCCTTATCTCAAGGGATCACTCTTCCCTACAGTCTGAGATTCTGCCGTCTCAAACAAAACACTTTGCAAGATTCTACATAATACGGTTTTAATGAAATCCGTGAAAATAAAGAGTGTATTAAATGTGTGAACGTGAAATAAACTGCTAGACAGGAGAGTAAAGGAGTGGAGAGAATATACTTAATATTTAGAGGTGTTTGCTAAGACTTATTATTGCTTGTACTTAGGGTTTTAGGGATTTAAACAAACCGCTAACCTTAAAGCAGTGATCCACAAATCTGGCTCGCGAGATCCACTTTCCTGCAGAGTTTAGCTCCAAAGCTGGGGACTATTGAATGATATAATGTGAAAAGATGTGAAAAATGCAAAGAAAAAAAAACAGTTTTTAGTACATCGTTGTGTAAATGTACCCTTAGCGGACTACTACTTTAATAAAATTGCATTTAATTTTAGTTGATGAAAATATCTTTTGTCCGTTTTTGGCAATAGTTTAATGCAGATAACATTGTGTGCCAACAACCAGCACTTCAACATTCTACAGAAAACATAGAAACCTGTTTTCATTTTGGCATCTGTCATATCCATCAGCCACAGTGTTTCAAATTTCATGATGTATTTTCAGAGCTCTCGTGTCTTTGCTTTCTCTCTGATGGCGTACATTTAAACAGCATCTTCATGAACCTGCATTTCTTGAATCCCGATACCTGCAGCCGCCCACCGGAGAAAGGGATCAAACGCGACATTAGTTCAGCTCTGCGTCCTTCTGTCTACTCTTTCAGCTCATTCGCTCATTCTTCATCGTTCTCCCCCCTCTGCTTCTCTTTCAATTTAAGCGCTCTCTTTCCACTTCCAATTTCTCCTCTCTGGAAGTCGGGGTCTTTTTCAGAGTGAATGAATGTTCTGCGGAGCTTTTAGGGGGATCGTTTATCTTAAGTTCTGAAGATTGTGTAGAGACATGCGTGCCAGCGTATTATGTTAAAGTCAAATGTATCCTAGGAAAATAGAAAAAATATGAGTTTTTCTTTCTTTTAACACAGACCTGTTAGTCTAAAAAATGCGGTCTGAGGGATTTCTCACGATAATGCATCATTTATTTGATGGTTTTCTTATGCAACGCATCTGGCAAAGAGCACATCACGTTAACTCATCGTACTTTACATTTTGAGGTTAGCTGACAGGATTCCTGGGATGAAAAATAAACCGGAGAGCTGTTTATAAACCCACTTGCAGTAAAATTTTCAAATAAAAGAGCTTATGACAGAAGTTATAAAAGCAGTGAGCATTACAAGCAGCACAATAAAACTCAAGCTCAGCCTTGGCCTTGTCTCATGACGCCTCGCGTCTTAAGTCGACTGTATAGCCGGCAATAACTTAATACTCTCTTTATATCGAGCAGCTGGGGATCCATCCACAAAGACATCTGTCCCGGTGTATAGGCTACTGAAGGTCAGTCTCATCTAGCCCACTGCTATAATGTCTATCAGCGCTCTCGTGTTCAGCCTAGAGAGAAAGTGTCTTCGGCTCCTCCTTCAGAGTGGTTTTATTCTCTAAACGCCACTGCCTCACCGCTCTCAGTTTCGCTCTGAAAAGCTTCTCAAATGTCACTCTCTTCACACGCCCTACGTGAGGGCGCTCAAAGTGTTATGTGCTAAAACGCCGAAGGTGTTTACCTGATAGCCTGAGAGAACTGTTTCTGATGGGAAATTATATTTAACTAATCTAAAAGTAATTTAAAGCTCATTTAAGACGCAAAACAGGGACAGTTCAGCGAAAGATGGTCTTTAAATCGCATTATAAATCTGTGTGACATTTTCTCCTGCAGAAATGAAAATTTTTCTCTCCTTTATAAGATCTTAAAAAGAATTGGCATCAAGAACCTTTAACATCCATAGAACTTTCCATTGCACAAAAGGTTATTTCAGGGGAAAAAAAGAATCTTCAGATTATTTAAATGTTCTTCACACCAAGAAAAAAAAATTTTCTTTTAAGAACTGTTTAATGAAAGGTTCTTTGGGAAACCCATATGTGACCCTGGACCACAAAACCAGTCTTAAGTGTCAAATTTTCTGAATAAATAAGCTTTCCATTGATGTATGGTTTGTTAGGATAGGACAATATTTGGCCAAGATACAACTATTTGAAAATCTGGAATCTGAGGGTGCAAAAAAATCTAAATATTGAGAAAATCGCCTTTAAAATTGTCCAAATGAAGTTCTTAGCAATGAAGTTTTGATATATTTACGGTAGGAAATTTACAAAATATCTTCATGGAACATGATCTTTACTTAATATCCTAATGATTTTGACCCATGCAATGTATTTTTGGCTATTGCTACAAATATACCCCAGCGACTTAAGACTCCACTTTGTGCTCCAGGGTCACATATGTAGCTGTGAAAAACCCCTTTTGGAACCTTTATTTTTAAGAGTGTTGCTATCAAATATAATTTGATAAAATATGACCAGTCACACCAGATTTGATATCTCAAACAATTACTATGTGACTGCACTGAAGTGCAAATGAGATTTGAGAGTTAGGATGAATTAATCTATCGTCAGATCTATTGGATGGATTGTGAATAGGCTTAACTAGAATATAGTGTACAAGTTTTACTGACTCATTTATTTAACTCTATTATTTTATTTTTTTAAATCATTACAGCACCTGTTCACTGTAAAAGACCAGCTAAACATTTAGTAAAATTTCGTTTTTTGTTCTACTTAAAGTCAAACAGGTTTGTAGCGACATGAGAGTGAGTAAATAACAGAAACTTCTTTTTTTGTGAACTATCGCTTTAACAATCCATTTAGGTGACTGTGATAAATGACCAGTTCTCGCTTACGCACTCGTGACCTTACCAAACCATATGTCAAGAGTGAACTCTGGAATTACTGTCATCGATTTGCCAGTTTGATTTTTACCACTGGGACAGTTTAAGTGGCAAACATGTAAATGCTTCGCTCGACTGACTTGGTGAATGTGTCACCGGCTGCACACATTGTATCTGCCGTTCTAGCCTTTCATTTTCCCTTCGCGGGCTGTGTGGTGCCTCCCAGGGTGCCCGTCATTAATTTGCCTTTTTTATCTGCATAAATAACAGGGAGCTGAAGCGGAGCACTACCTAATGAGTCATCCAGAGGTGGGAGACGGGGGCAAAGAGGCCAGAAACTGAGCAAAATTACATGTTTCCAGCTAAGAACTCTCCCACAGAGAGAGAGAGAGAGAGAGAGAGAGAGGTGAGGGAGGGAGGGAAGCATGTAAATGCTTCG